TGTTGATAGTTTGTATTTGTTGTTCATAATTTTTATCTTTATTTAGTTTCTCTACCGAAAGAACCCCCTTCAGCAATTCATATAATTCTGGTTTGGTGGTGATGAACTCCTTTAGCTTTTTTTTTTATTAGTGAAGCTCTTTATCTGGCCTTTGATTCTGAGTAATAGCTTTGCTGGGTAAATTATTTTTGGCTCTAGGTTGTTGCTATTCATCACTTTGAATATTTCTTGCCATTCCCGTCTGGCCTGCATGGTTTCTGTTGAGAAATCAGCTGACAATCGTATAGGTGCTCCTTTATAGGTAACTACCTTCTTTGCTCTTGCTGCTTTTAATATTCTCTCTTTGTCTTTTGCTCTTAGAATTTTAATTATGATTTGTCTTGGTGAGGTCCTCTTTGGATTCCTTTTGTTTGGAGTTCTGTGCACTTCCTGGACTTGTAAGTCTAATTCTTTCACCAGGTGGGGGAAGTTTTAGGTCACTATTTCTTTCAGTATGTTTTCGATATCTTGCTCTCTCTCATCTTCTGGGACCCCCATAATTCTGATGTTGGTTCTCTTGAAGTTGTCCCAGAGGTTTCTTACATTATCTTCAATTTTTTGGATTCTCTTGCCTTCTTGCTTCTGTGGAGGAGTGTCTTCTGACTCTTTATGTTCCAAATCTTTAACTTGATTCTTGCGATCTTCCATTCTGTTTTTAGGACTCTGTATAATATTTTTTATTTCAGACAATGTATTCTTTATTTCTTGTTGATTCCTTATCATTTCTTGTTGATTCCTTATTAATTCTAGTTGATCCCTTTTCATATCCTCATGGGTCTTATAGACCTTTTCTAGGAAATTCTTGAAAAACCTTATAAGTGTAGATTTGAACTCTATATCCAGTTGCTTTTTGTCCTCCATTTCTTTCGTTTGTGATCTATTTTGTTGTCTCAGCATTTTTGCAGCTTCCCTGATGGGGCGGGGTTTCAGGGTGGAGCCTACTGGCTTGGCTTCCATCAGCCACGCCCTATGCGGCTCCTGAGTCCTTCAGTACTTGCTGCAAGCCCCTCCAAGACTGAGGTGCCCTCAATTTTTGCCTGCTACCAATCTAGGTTCTCCCCCAATGAGCCCGGAACTGGGGTTCAGTTCAGTTGGAAGTGGAGTTGGAGGTGGCGTTCAGAGAAGTCCGGAGCTTTTGTCTCCTTCCCGCCAGGGCAATCCCACAGCACATCCAACCGTCCCTTCTCTGTGCACAATGTGCACGCCTCCGGGACCTCCTTTCGCCGCTCCCCCGGGGTTCCGCCTTACAGCCCAGCTTCCTCTGTATGAGCCTGGTCCCCGGGGTCTGGCCTAGAACTGGGGTTCAGAGTAGTCAGAACTGGGGCCCAGCACAGTCGGAGCTTTTATTTCCTTCCCGCTAGGGAACACCAGCCAGGCACTCAGCTGCCCCGCCCTTTCTCTCCTGCTCCGTCCTCTCTGTGCGCGCCGAGTGTCTCCATACCTTAGGCTTTTACAGCTCCTCCGCTCTTCCTTCTGGTTTTCTCCTTGCTTCTTGTTGTAGACTTTCCTGTAGTTCTGGGTAATGTCCATTTTATATTTTAGTTGTATTTTATTGAAATTGTTGTCTGCGGCTGCGGTTAGGTGTTTACCTGTGCAGCCATCTTGGATTCTCCCGACACAGCACTTTTAACACTAAATAAGCTTTAGCCTGGGGATCATTTCTGAAGATGACTTCGTGTGTTTTCTCTCTGATTGTGGGTTGATTTGATAGATTAACTCTCAGAGGGCAGTCTTATTCCCAAATTCCTAGGTGGCACCCCAGTTGACTGCTATATTGCTTCTAACCACACCCCTTTATTAAGAAAAATGAAGCACAGAAAAGTTAAGTGACATTCAGTCCTTCAATACGTCTTTACTGAAGACCCATCACGTATCATGCTCTAAGGTGGCTTCTTGCATAAAATACAATCTGTACACAGAAGGCAGACATACAAGCAATTACAGCAAAACTGGATAAATTCACAATTGGGGAAATAAAGGTCACAGAGGATCATATATTGCATGGGCACCTAACCCTACTTACTACTCCCCCAACCCCCTTTTTTTAAAAAAAATTTTAAGCTATTTTGGCTTTCCAATGTAATAATCAAGTAAAAATATTGTCAAACAAGTAGTTTTTGAGATAAGAGTATAAAACATTGATGGGGAAAATTCGCTTAGCAGCTAAGAGAGCCTGGTAGGATGAGGAAACTTTAGATGCATCTTCACTGTGAGAGATGGGCTTTGTCTTTGGCAGGAAAACCATCAGGAGCAAAGGGAACAGAACATCTTGCCAGTTTCTCTTAGTCTGTGGGAGTAAAAAATCACCTTGGAAGGATGAGTTGAGGTGAGATATCAGATGTCACTGATATAAAAAACTTTTTAAACGTGATAGAAATCTTGAAAAAATAATGACCAAAGGGCAACCTGGACATTGTCAAGGGCAGGGTGATAGAGGCTTTATCCGGGAACATAAGGCATAGAGTTTTACTTTTAATCAAAGTTTCTTCTGCTAGAAATCCTTTTTATTCACTAGATTCAGCCAGGTCAAAAACTCTAACTGGGGTTCTTTTCAATGTTTTAGGCTCTTCTGAGGTTCCTGAAAAAAGTCAAAGAAATGCTTGGTTCAGAGATTTGACAAATTCATAAAAAGACTTCTGTGAAGTTTTAAAGTATGTCTGACTGCTTCTATTGCTTTAACTGGTGCTGCTGAATTAATATTATTCAAAAGCAGCTCCATTTCCCAGGGTAAAACAAGAAAAGTTCCACCTGTTTTAACAACTATTCTGAAAAAGTTATTAAAATCACACATATCTTACTTTTTGCCCTTTTTATCAATTTTTCAGAAGTTTTGCTATAGCATATGAGTTACATGACCCTGGCTACTAGAAGAGACAGAGGATAATGCCCCACTAGAGAGTTACTTTAGACATCATTTTACAGGTGTTCTACAGTAAAAATATGGTTATACCATAATATAAAATGTCAGCAAACCAAATGAGTAAGCAACTGGTGAGCAGTTTGGCTTTCCAATTGAAAGGGCTCTGCTAATTTTCTTTAATAATTATTAAGTTTAATGAATAAGCTCTTTGGATACTTTAACCTAATTGTATAAACAATTATTTGCATAGTAAGTTCATTATGAAGCTTTAAGGTGCATCAGAAGCCACTTGGATGTCTGTAAACAGACTATCGAAGTTAACACGTACAAGCCCTTCGAGCCAGCAGTTCTTTTTCTAGGAATTTGTCCTGCAGAGAGAAATGACATATGTCCAATGTTCATTGCTAGTGTGTTCACAATGTCAAAAGATTAGACACAATCTACATAGAAGGCTGTTTAAAGACACGATGATAGATGGATTCTGTGAAATACCAGGGAGTTGTAAAAAGGAATGAGAAACGTCTTAATGTGGAAAGAACTCTAAAATATATCCTTAAGTACACGTGTGGATAGTAGGCTACCACGTTGTATAAAGAGTGACAAAATAATATACATATGTATAAAAGTATAAATCTATCTATCTATCTATCTATCTATCTACCGGTATCTATCTATCTATCTATCTATCTATCTATCTATCTATCTATCTATCTATCTATCTATCTATTCATCCGTTTATCTATCATCTATTAATACACAAAAAACAAATAAGCTTGGTTGCCAGTGGCAGAGCAAGGGAAGTATGTGATGCTATGGGAAGTGATTATCTGGGATAAGGGGTAAGAGGGAGACATTTAACTGAATGTCCTTCTTTCATAGTTTAAAAACTTCTAATCATGTGAATGTATTGTTTATTTAGAAAATTAAATCCAGAAATTAAGTTTTTCCTATTGAAAAATTTCTCTAATAAATGTATTATTTATTTAGAAAATTAAATCCAAAAATTAAATTTTTCATATTGAAAATTTTCTCTAATGAAAACAATAAAAATTCCCAGAGAAGAGTTAATAGTATTTCTATTTTGGGAAACTATACCAGTGTTCATCATCTCCATGGACAAGAAACAAATTTTTGATTACATGTAAATCCTTCTTTAAAAATATTTATATTTTATTGATTTTTTACAGAGAGGAATAGAGAGTTGGGAACATCTATCAGCTGTCTCCTGCACACCTCCCACTGGGGATGTGCCCACAACCAAGGTACATGCCCTTGACTGGAATTGAACCTGTGATCCTTCAGTCCAGAGACAGACATTCTATCCACTGAACCAAATTGGTCAGGGCTAAATCCTCCTGTTTGATTTCTCTTTTTAGAAGAGAAATCATTTTAAGAAAGCAATTATCTGCTTCTCTACATTACAGGTCACCTCATTTCCATCTATGTTCAGGGCTTTGTATAAAAAGCAGAGGCATCTGTGAAGCAAAAATCACATGTTCTATGCAGGACTAAGTTTCAATATAAAAAACTAGAAAAGCAAGACTGCAGACCTCAGTGGAATAAAAGAGATACCATTATGCCATGGACATGATATTTCATCTTCTGCTTTGAAATCAGCTGAAGATAATATTAGAAGAAATTGATAGAGTCAGAGTAAAGAAAGACAGATTAGAATTCATCTAGTTTGTAACTGCTTCTTGGTAAAACTGTCTCTGAAATAAAGGACGTCATTAATATTCTGAAGGACATATTTCAATAACATACGATAGAAGGACATGATTGCAGTCAGTTTCCAAACTAAAATTCTTTTCTTGCTACTTGACATTGTACTTAAAACATTTTCTCTCTACTTTGCTCCTTCTTAACTATGGTTTAGGTCTTGTCCCCAGAAAGTGGGAGCAGAGGAATAGAAAGAAACAGAGTTGATAGAAATGGGTCAAAGGTGTCAGAGTTGTAGGCAGGAAATTTAGTGAATGGTGGAAGCAGCCAAAATTCTTTCTAGTGGAGGGCTTGGTTTTCCTACTACATTAGAAAACACTGTGTCTGTGTTTGCCTTGCTTTGGATTAAATATACATGAAAACTGTTCTCCTTCTTAAATAGCAGGGACCAAGCAGAGGCTGCCCTCCACTCAGGTCAAGGTGGTGTTTTCTCCAATACCAGAGCTAGAAGTTCCTTCTACGACCCATCAGCACGAGTAGTATACACAGTGAGTCATGATTCTGCTTTACTGACGATTTGACTATATTCATTACTAGGGGCCCAATGCACAAAATTCATGCAAGGGTAGGCCCTCGCAGCCCTGGCTGCCTCTGCCCTTGCAGCCGCCCCAGCTTCATCCAGAAGGTCGTCTGGACAGTTGTTTCTTTGTTTAGCCAGTTGGTCAATTTGCTTATTTTGCTTTTATTATTCTAGATAAATGTTAAGAGATCCAAGGAAGTAAAGTATACTTCAAACTACGTTTCTATTTTAGAGTAGGAGATAGAAAGTGATGAACTTGCAAAACCAGCTCACATGAATTCAATGACATGAAATAAAAGTACTTGTTTCTCCAAGGTGTAGGAAGGACCAGTAAACTAATCTCTTAGTCTGTTAACCAACATACATGTGCCTCTGAGCTGTCAATTCATCCCTTGATACAGTTTTCTGGGGTTGAGTCATAATTTCAGCAGGCCAATCATTGTATCAGTTGGAGCATGAGAAAAGAGAATGAATTTATAAAGAACTGTCCACTGGTCTTCAATTACTGAGACCAAAGACTTCTCTAAATTTAACATCTAATCATCTAGATTATTGTACATTGCTTCCCATCTATTTGAATTCAAAACTGTGGTCAGAAGTGTCTTAGAAATTCCCCCCCTCTCTCATTCAACAAATATTTATTAAGTAGCTGTTCTGATAAAGGCAAAATTGGTAGCCATTGTAGGAGGTATAAAAATTGTAACAGGGAAGAAGAGGGACACTAGCATTTATTTGTTGTATTCTTTTATGCTTGGTGGTGGTAGTCTAAATCATTTACTCTTCATAATCCTTGGGTAGTTATTAGTCAAGGTCCCAGTAGGAAACTATTGATATACTCAAATAATTTGTGGAGAGTTTAATAAAGGGTTTATTAAACTAGGAAAATAAAAAAGGAGAATGTGACACCATAGGACTAATAAGTAAGGATACTGCTCCTGTGTCTAAGATTAAAGGAACCAAGAGAGACACACACAGAGGCAGACACACATGCACACATACACACGGGTGGAGTATGTGCAGAGGGCTGCCTAACAGGAGCCACTGTGACCTTTGGTCAGGGGATACCACAACCTGTGGTTGCCATGAAGAGAGAGAATAAATACTCCAGCTTGGCTGTTCTCCTTTTACTCAGTGTACTTCCCACTGGCCACACTGAACCAGAGTCAGGGGATGCTGACACCAGATGGAGGCAGTTTCTATAGATTGACCACCCAGAGTACCAAGCAGGTTGGGAGAAAGTAAAGAGCAGATCTGAAAAGGTGACTAAAGGGATCCAGCACAGTTGGCTGCCAGGATGTCTCTCAGCATTTAGAAGGGTTCAGGAATCTGGAGAAAGACTGCAAGTAAATTAATAAAGAGATTAGATATGAAATATAAATTTGGAATACATGGGGGAATCAGAGGAGACCTAGTTTCAGTAATCAGGTTCTCTGAATCTCTGGACCCCTAGCTTTTTTTTTTTTAAAATATATTTTATTGATCTTTTACAGAGAGGAAGGGAAAGAGGTAGAGAGTTAGAAACATCGATGAGAGAGAGTCATCGATCAGCTGCCTCCTGCACACCCCCCACTGGGGATGTGCCCACAACCAAGATACATGCCCTTGACCGGAATCGAACCCGGCACCCTTCAGTCCACAGGCTGACGGTCTATCCACTGAGCCAAACCAGTTTCGGCTGGACCCCTAGCTTTTTATTAACACAAATTGACCTAAGGCAAAGCAGATATACAAATCAAAGGTAAGGTTTGGTATACAGTAGGCATTGTCAGATTGGGGGAACTGCCTTCGCCTGTGCCAATAGCAGGCAATAATATATGCAGATGTTCAGCCCTGCTGAAGCCTCAAGATTTATCAACCTTTTGATGAAATTTTTGCATTTTATTATGCCCTGCTGGAACTAGCTCAGTGGTGGCTCAATACATCAAACTGGAAACTAAGTGCCAAGGATACGTTTGTGTTCAAGACTAGAGAGAGGCTAGTCTCAGTAGTTGGATTTTAGTGTAATCATGGTTTGTTGTTGGCTCAGAAATTTCTATATAGACTATAATGTAATCATATAATTGTTTTAATGGAATATTACTGGTTATTTTTATGCCTGATACTGGCCCTCATTCTGGGATGCTCAACCTGGCATAGGAAGAATTCCCTTTGTTCATTCACCAAATGCTTGTGCCAGGAATTATCATGCTCATTGGCAAAAATAACATGCAGTCAGTGGAGGAATCAGATTAGGGAACCCCTAATTTCAATAGAGTGTCAAATAACGTGATAGAGGCATTTATGGGGAACTTGGGAGCATAATGGAAAGATTTTGCATTCAGAGGATATGTTGCCTAGCATTTAATAAATGCTCAATAGTTATTTTTTTGAGTGAATGATTAAGGCCTACTTTCTATGTCTTTCTACTAGAATCATGGACTGTTATAACTAAAAGAAACTTGTGTGAACACTTACAGAAGTGGAGAGTAGCCCAAACATACTGTAGTGGCAGAGGCTGGAGAAAAACCCTAGTTTCCTGAGTCTTAGGCTGATAACTTTGTTTACCACACTATCTTCTTGGACATAATGGAGGCTCCATTGCATAACATAGGATTGGAAAAGAGCCCTTGATCAGTGACTTTAGGAGGTTTTTTAGTGTTCTTATAAGATGCACATTAGATAAATGGTTTTAAATTTGTTTTCTACTCATTTTCTTCAGGTAATACTTAACATTTTTGTGTGATTAATATTTGTCTTTTTTTTTTTTTTTCTTCTGCTTCTTAATCTTTAGAAAAACATCCTCTGAAGACCTCTGAACAAGATGGACAAAATCCTTTTGAAGAATATTCATAATTTTATTTGGGGAATGAGTTAACTGATAAAGCCATGAGTCCAGTCAAGGATGCACAATTGGAAATAGCATCCTGATTGATGCAAACTAGCTCGGGAGCACTCATGGGACACATGAGATTAAAAAAAAAATGAGAGTTTTTTTTTTTTTTTTTTTTTTAGGAAACCATTATAAGTCATGGAAACAAGCTGATGAAACCCATGGAAATAGCAAGAGAATGCTTCCTCTTCTATGAATATCTATCATCACACAGCTTAGGGTGCCCCAAGATTTTGATTTTGAGGAATCAAAAACAGGGTCAGGCTTTTCTCTCCGCGGCTTAGGGTGCACATTCTGATTTGATGGGTTTTTCCCGGCAGATGGATTGTTTCTCTTTGACGAGCCACTTCAAAGCGCCCGGGTTGTTTCTACATTTGTTTGGATTTATAAATCTTGCCTTTGAAATACCCTCTGTGGCACCGAGAATGTTTCAAAAAATGCAAAGATACTAAAATAAAATGAATTGAAGTAAAACTTAAGTGAAACTTCAATGTTTAAATCTAATGGCAAAATGTCCTCTGATTCCTTTGACTTTCGTATTTTTTTATAGATATCATTCATGTCAGGATTAATTACAGTGATTAATTACAAGAAAAGCACATAGAGATAAGAGGGCAGTTCTTATAATTAAAAATTATAAAATTATCCTTCTAGAGTTAAGGTGCAATTTAATCACCTGGCATCATTATTTGGTTAAAATTGCTTAGCTGAGTAGAATTCCAGATGTGGGAATTCTGCTAAGTCTCACTTTTTCTTGTCTGTGTAACACTGATTAACAGGTGATTCAGGCTCAGGTCTGGAATATTCAGCAGGAGTTTAGGGGGTGTCCCAGTCCATGAGGAATGGATATTATACAATTTCTGAGAAGCCAAGGTATTATTTCCTTGCACATCCTCTATTATATTCAGATGAATGACTTGGAAATCAATGGGAGCTTGGCTTACCAAAGGCGTCAAGTTCTGCTAAATTGTGCCAGCTTTCTGGAAGTTAATTTCACCTATTTATTCAAATAATAGACTTCAACAGGTACTCTGAAGCATTCAAAAATAGTGTTGGTCTGCTCTCTGCCCACAAAGTTTACAGTGTGGTGGAGGGGATAGATATTATACTACTGTTATAATACTAGACAATACGGTAAGATAAGTGTGTCATTTGCAGGCCCCATGCTTCCTGCTGAGAATTCACAGGCCATTAGTGTCTGTTAGAGTCTATTCTCTTTTCTGTCTACATCTTTCTTAAGAATCTCCAGCTGTTGATGCTATTCTGATGAAAGGCGATTTTAGGATGAGTGAAAGTAAGTTATTACATTAAAAAAATCTAAATAAGGGATGTTATCATTGCCCCAGAGGTATGACAATCAAAAGACACATTAAAAAAATAAATCTTTGTGAACTAGAAATCCTGTAGTTCAGTAAAGACAGGGTAGTGATCCAGAGACATGGAAGCATGCCACAAATTGATGATTCTCAGAAGGTGGTGGTGGGGGGGGAGGAGGTGGAGGGGGCAGGAAGAGGTTAACCAAAAAACTTGTGTGCATATATGCATAACCCAAGGACATAGATAACAGTGTGTTAAAGGCCTGAGGAGGGGTTGGGAGTAGGGAGGAAGAGGTCAACGGGGGATGAAAAGGAGACATCTGTACTACTTTCAACAATAAAGATAAATTAAAAAAAGAAAGAAGCTTCTGTGATTTCAAGGACAGGATGAAGTGTGCATGCACAAACAGGGAGAAAACAGAACATTTTGGCAGAAAAAAAAATGATACTTCATAAATCTTCCAGAAGAGTTATTTTCTACCCTCCCCAAGTTAAAGATACTGTCAGAAGAAAATATGGAGACAATATTGCTACTTATAAATAGAAGAATATCATTTTTTGGATTATTAGTTAAAATACTTTCATCTACAATAACAGCAGGCCTTAGTCAACATACCTTACATGATAAGAAGTGTTATTATCTTATCTAACAGAAATTCTGAGTAGTGGTTCAAGAACTCACATCATCCATCATCCAAGTTCTTTCCTCTCTCCTCTGCCATCTTCAGCTTGTTGGCTTTTGTCTTCAGGCTTCTCTTGTCAACATTTCAATGAG